ACATGACTTTTGTCTTTTCACTGGGCCTGCTGTAGCAGATGTTATTAATGGTGGAGTTCAAACTTTGAAAGCATCCTTCGGATCTCTGACAGATGGGAGCTGAAGGATGAATACTCTGACTTCGGCTTCATTGCATGGGTCTTAGTCCTTTTAGTAGATATACTTTCATTTTAGAATTTCATACTTCATACAATGTATTTTGGTCATATTCACCCTCTTCTTATCCCTCATCTCAGATATACCCTGGAATTCAACTTCATTACTGAGAGGCCAATCTGATAGGGACAATTTCTCAACTGAGGTTCCCTCTTCCCAGGTGCATCAAGTTGATAACCCAGATTAGTCATTACACGCTGTAAAGGATTATCATGGCAGAGAACTAACATTAAAATCAGAAGTAACTTCTAATGACAGAATAATGCTGTATGATATGCTGTCAGTGGGTAGTCTCTCTACTTTCTGTGAGTGTGGTCAAAATAGTGTGGTGTGGCTGACAGTTCTGTTATGGTCAATAGTGGCATATATCAAAACCTAGAGCTCTGATGTCTGAGTAAAACAATTATTTGAAGTAAACATGGATGAAGCCTTGGGACCACTGTCTTCAGGCTTGGGGACTTGCTGTCACAAGATCTACAGTGATGATCCTATGCTACAGTCAATAACCATTCTTCTGTCAAGCTCAGCTGCATAAGCTATCCTAGGACAGCACTTTCACAAACACATCTCTGGCCTACACTGCAGAAATGGGATGGTGTGTCAGAGTCAATTCTAACTGGAGGACATGCCCATCTCTCAATATGGTTTAAATTGAGGAATAGTTCAAAGAGAAAGTGATGAAACTCCAGGAGGAAACAGGTGAGCATCTGATGATGGAGACACCATTACCATGCACAAACTCCTCCTGCCCAGCATCCCCCTCAGTCAACATCTCCTGTCTATGATGGAGTGGTAGTTCATATCTAGGGCTCGTTCCACTTAGGTATCAGAAGGCAGAGGGTACTATTTGATTTGATTTCACTAACTGATTAGAGTAGGAATGGGTATCATCACTTATTTTGGACAACAGGTTACCAAGACAACATTTAGGAATGGAGATCTCAGTTCTTGAACATCACTGCAAATGCTAGCAAGGGGTCCAACAGACTCTGGGAGCATTGGTCATGTGGCTGCAGGGACCACAGGTTGTTCGCTGAGCAGGACAGTCAGCTATGTCTCCCTCAGCACTCTTTAGACATGGCCTACCTGTTCATAATTCTCTCTAGGGACAATAAACCACAGTGAAGGAGAGCTGTGACTCGAGTTCAGGGGTCATGCTCAAAGAAACATGAGTCTCTTCAACCTAAAGGGAATTCCTAAGCAAAAATAATTTTTCCAATTAATTTTGTTCTCAAAAATAAAAAGCATGGACATACTTTTTCCCTCACAATTTATTCTTCGTTGTACTCATATGCATCACACACATGTTTTACTTTTTCAAGACAACTTGGTAGCTGGAGGGGGGGGTGGGGTGGGCAGAGACTAGAGGCTTAGTGAAGTTTAGCATCAAATTCCCTCTAGTCCAAGGATCTTTTCTTCACAAGGAAGAATCTAAGCCAGAAGGAAACATCGCAACAGGGAAATGTTTACCTTCAAGGTAAGTTTTGTTCATCTGTCTTTTTTCTTTGTTTTTAGAATGCACTGCATTTTAATCTCTGGGAACAACAGGTGTAGATATAGGAGATCTCTGCATTGTTGGCCTGTCTTACCATCTTTCAAGAGCTATTTATTCAGAGTTCTGTTGAAAGATAAAACCCAGGGGACAAGTTCTTCAGGACACTAGCTGCAGGGAGTGACATTTTACTCATTCCTTCTTGAGGGACCCACTAAGTCTCCCTGGGGATCCCAGGGGAGATTTGATGACTTCCCTGTGGATTGGTGAGTGTTTCATCAGTTCTGAGGGGTCAAGACCACTTACCACTGAGAAATTTCTTAGGACTTTCTTAATCTGTGCAGGTTTTTAATGGCCTAAGGCAGTGGGTTTGACTTCTCTGTGTACCTGATTTCTGAAGCAAAGCAAATTTCCTAAGGGATATTTGGAAATGGACAAACGGGAAAAATGGCATGTGATTATGGAGGTCATTCCTTTTAAGGAATAAATTCCATGAGTCTTTATGTAATTGTAAAGATGTTTGTAGAATACAGCTTGCTCAAATAAGCCCAAAGCCGTATGGATTGGAGATAAAGAGGCTGGGATCAAGTATGATAGATTTTTTTTTCTACCTTTGTTGCCTCTATTACAAATTTCTTTATTAAAGGTGAGTGCCGGGGTGCCTGTGCTGTAAGGACCCATGTTGGTTTGAAAGTTGTGCTCTGACCTATGGGGAGAAGGTGGCAAAGAGTAGGGGAGGACAGGAGGAAGGTAGAGGGAAAGGAAAAAGAGGAGGAAGGTAAAGGGAAGCCAGGAGAAGCTGGGGAGGGGGCAGCGGGAGGTAAGGAAGAGTAGATGAATATGGAGGGAGGAAGAAACCGGGAGAGCAAAGGGAAGGAAAGTGGGAGAGGATATGTAGGCCAGGGGCATAACTGGCTTAGTATTCCTTATATACCAGGCAGTGGGGTTTCACTTAAATTGCTTCTCTAATTCTCAGAGACACTGCTAGTTAGCTGTGGTGTAAGCCCCACATTTCAGAAGAATAAACTGAAGCTCAAGAGTGTCAAAAACTGCCTGAGGTCACGCAGAAAGGATAATCCAGGCTGCATCTTGATGTCAGAGTTCTGACCATTCACCTCCTTAAGACCCTACAATAAACACACACTTTAAACCAAAGGCAGAGCATAACCTTGGGGCTAAGCAGGCTTATGCCACATGGCTACAGACTTGTGGCGTGGCTCTCTTTTATGAGCTTTCATTGCTGGTCAAATGTAAAGTTTATCTCAGTAGCGTTTAGTCCATTATTTGTTATTTTTTAATGTATGTTAGTCACCAGGGAGCTCACCAAGTGCTAAGTTCCTAAGACTTCACCCAAAGGCACTGGCTTGGAGTGAGATGTTCAATGTTCCCAACACAGGAGCTCAACCTGACAGTCTAGAGCATTCAGAACAGTAGTTAGTACGTGAGCAGATACCCTGTCTATCATACATAATAACAAGCTGTATTTGAAAATAGCTTCAATTATCAGAAAATCCCTCTTATGTTAAACAAAGAAATCTCAAATAATCTGTCTGGTTTTCTTTTTCTTCTTTTTTCTCCCCACCCCTTTGGTTTCTCAAGACAGGGTTTTGCTGTGCAGCTTTGGAGGCTGTCCTGGATCTTACTCTGTAGACCAGGCTGTCCTTGAACTCATAGAGATTCCTTGCTTCTGCCTCCTGAGTGCTGGGATTAAAGGCATGTGCCATCACAGCCTGGCTGTGCCTGATTTTCTTAAACAGAACTACATATAGAAAATTTAAGATGTCAGTATTTTATTTCAGTGTGTGTGTGTGTGTGTGTGTGAGTGTGTATGTGTGTGTGTGTGTCTGGTATAGAAGATTTAAGATGTCAGTATTTTATTTCAGTGTGTGTGTGTGAGTGTGTATGTGAGTGTGTGTGTGAGTGTGTATGTGTGTGTGTGTGTGTGTGTGTGTCTGGCTGTGCCTGGTTTTCTTAAACAGAACTACATATAGAAGATTTAAGATGATTTTATTTCAGGGTGTGTGTGTGTGTATGTGTGTATGTGTTCATGTGTGTGTTCGTGTGTGTGTGTGTGTGTGTGTGTGTGTGCTTGTGGAGGCTGGAAGGGTTTTTGGGATTCCCCAGAGCTGGAGTTACAGGTGATCGTGAGTAAGTCATGGTAATTGAACTCTGGTCATTGAAAGAGCACAAGTTTTCTTAGGAGCCCCCTTTCATTTTTCAAAATATTTTTTTCCTGAATGTTATTTTTAAAAAGTGAGCTTGGTAAAGAAAATAACCATTTATGGATGTAAAATTTGCTTCTCAGCAGTGGGTAGGTAAGGGGGAAATTCTGGACCCCCAAACTTCTGATGGGAACATGGAACTCTGTTCTCTGCTGGGCAGCCATCCTTAGAGAATCTCACACTAGACAAAGATATGATTTCCCATTTCCTGTAGCAGCATCCTGGCACACATCACCCAAGTCAAACAAACCATTCAGCGATGCCTCAGATTCAGAAGAACCCTGCGTGTCAGGGTGGAGGCGAGGCTGATTGTAAAGGGGAAGGCACTCTCAAGTAAGGGACCCGGAGGCCTGCCATTTCGAGCTTCTGCTTGCTGTGCTGGCCCAGGAGTTGCTTCTTAAGCCACTAAAACAACTGTGAGGCGAGAAGGATCTGCATGGAAAGATACCATGCGTTTCCAAACATCTCAAACCCTTAGAGACTACTCCCTACTTGTTCACCTACTTGCAAAACAGAAGCAAGTGTTCCTTCATTGATTTAGAAGGAAGTTAATGACTTATATATTTTAAAAGGCAGCAAGGAATGGATATGGATGTGAGATTTCATTAGTGGCTGTTTGTGTATATGTTCTAAAACTTAAAACAATTTGATGAGGAAAATGTAAAAAAAAATCTCTCTGCTACTTACTGGTAAAATAGGGATAATGATGACAAATACTATTGTTTGGTGGTTGTATGTCAGAGCATAACACACATAATTTCTAAAGATCTCTTGATACACAGTTAGTACCAGAGAATAGAATGCTAGTCTCTGGATTGACACGAGTGACAGTCCTGCTGGCTTGCCATGTGGCTCTTCACAAGCCTGTTGGTTCAGTGAACTCTCTTTGAATAACACTTAAAATGATGAGACAGATAGAGAGAAGAAGGGGTGTGCAAACGGCACATGAAATCTAGACTGCTGCTCTTTCCTCAGTTTCCCCCACCTAAGAAGAGACTGCAGGTTGAAAGTGTGATGGACAGGCTTTGTGTAGGTCCCTAACCCTGTGTTATTTTCTTAAGCGTTCCTTTTTGGTTCTGCTGCTCCAGCCAGGTTTAGGGTGTACAAATCACAACATCAGAAACCTCAGCTTGTTTCGATATTTTTTAATGATGAAATTCTGCATTGTCTATCCTCTTTCATGGGTATAAGACCAGAAGAGCTCCAGAGTATAGACTTGTAGGGAAATTGGAAAAGATGAAGGCCTGAATATCCTTAAACACAGTACACAGCTTTAATTTACATCATTGCCAAACATAGCATTGGAATTTGCATGTTGGTGTATGTGAAGTACTGGAAACATTCTGGGTTCTATCTGTGAGCATCCTAGCCATGTAACCTGGAGTTTCCTTTCTCCTGTTACCAACCCCATGGGGAACTTTAACTTCAAAGGTTCAATGTTGCATGGAGTACCATGGACAGTGTAAGTGGCTAGTGTGCCCAGCAGTCATAACCCACAAGTCTCAGCCTCATTTGGAGATGTACCTTGTTCCATGGCCTCTCCTAAAATGGGGAGCCAGGGTAGGATACATTCATAGTTTGGAACCCAGAGTGTGGCTCAGTGTCGGTTGTGATCACACAGTATACACATTTTAGGCTCTTAAACCACAGGATGCAGTGTTCAGAGGACTGACAGTCACAGCTGCTGCTGGGCTCCACAGCATCCCATGAGTCAGCAGAGAAGAGGAGCCCTCTTGGTTACCAGGCCACACTTCACGGAGTCCACATGGAGTCCACGTTTTTACTTCATTAATAAAATACGAGCCCGCTGTCCTTTGGTAGCCCAGAAGTGCGAGGGCACATTTTTTTCCTGTTTTCTAAACTGCATGCAGATTAAAGGTGATTACTTTTGGACTACAACCTGTTAATGATAAATAATCTTTGATTTACTATACATAATAGCAGTGCATTTCTTCTTAAAACAGCAAGCTTTTTTTTACCAAAATGAAAACATTCATTTTTTTATAAATAGTTTAAATACATATTTCATACCAAGGTTATAAAAATAGCTTCTTTTTTCAATAAATAAAGACATTTTCATTTACATGGCAAATAACGCGCGGTTAGGTAACCACTGGCCACCAACTCTATTTTACTGATTGTCTAGGAGATGACATGCAGTGATAATTGTCCCTCTGCCTTCACAAAAAGGAGGAGATCAGCAGGATCCATGCATCCCCAAGGGCCGACAGTGCTATGAATATTGTTCAGGAGTGACAGCCAGGCACTCAGGAAAAATCTTTGCTGCACTTCACAAAAGCCATGTAGGATAAAAGTAACCCGCAAACTCTTTGTCTGGATTCTCTATCTATTCAGACCCTCAGGGTCTTTGGATGGTTACCAAAGTCTGTCAAACAGACCAGTAAGTTAATAGTGTTGATGCTTCTAAGATCTAGAAATTGTTTGCTACAGTGTAGAGGTGGATCTGCCTTTCCCTGGCCCCTTGTCCTCCTTTCTGCAGAATTCCCAACATTGCTTAGGCCCCATGCCTACTCCAGGCCCCAAAGGCAAACTAGAGCTGTCATGCGGCAGCAGTTTAGGCATCAGAAGCTGCCCTATGTGCTGACATCATACATTTATGGCTTCACTGTCCTTTGCATCTGCTGTGCTTGTGACAATTTCTATTGGAAAGTTCTCCAAGGGCTCTGTAGAGGCTGACATCATTGCTTCTTGGTCCCAAGAGCCTGGTAAGTTTTCCAAACTGAAGGAACTCACAGGTCTGTGGGTAATGCTGCCCTCTTCTGATCTGCTTGGGAGAATGAGGTGCAAGGATGCTTCTGGTGAGGAACAGACTGAGGATGAGAGAGTGGCCGAGACTGACTGCAAAGGTGTCAGCGTGGTGTCAGAATGGGGGGAAATGCACCTCAGGAACTGCAAGTGACCTTCCTGGATGACCTGGCAGTGGGATGGGGAATAATCAAACTTTGGAGAATGACGCAGTTCACTATCTGCTGGGTTTTGCTCATGAGCTACAGTTCTTTGAGGGCTGCTTCCCAAAGAGGAGGGATCCACACTCCAGATGTCAGAGGTGACATTACCACGATAAAGCTGTGCTCCACCTGTCTGAAAATGGAGGCAAGGTTGGTGAGCACTCCAGCTCACCCTGGTCTGCAAGCTTTCTCTGGAAGGACACATCGGAGTGGGATGCAGGGCACAAAACCTTGATGGCTGCTGAGGTGACAAGATGTTTTCCAGAAGTTGCATGACGTTCCTCATATCTTTCCCTAGTTGGGAGACCTCCTGAGTCAATGTTGTTACCTGTAGAGAGAAAGCAGAGTCAACAACAATGGTCACAGGTACACAGGGTGGACAGGTCTTAGAGCATTGAAGACAGAAAGTGAAAGACGGCCACTCCAACTCAGAGCTAACCGAACTCAAGGTGAGTGGCAAGGCTGGGCACATAGACAGGTTTGTATCCTTATCTAAAGACATACCCACTTAGGAGAGATGAGTGTGGTTAGGGGTCTGTGGTGATATATCGTTTGCAATTTATTAAAGCCACTGAAGGTCAAAACAGCAAAGCAGCCATACTAGTTAGCCATAGAAGCCACGCACACATCTTTAATCCCAGGACTCAGGACTCAGGTAGATGGATCTCTGAGTCCATGACCACCCTGGGCTACCGGAGAGTGAATCAGGGCTCATGCCAGTAAGCCCTGATTTGAGAGGTATAAAAGGTAGAGGCATTCAGTCTGAGAATTAGTCTCTAGCTACATTGAGGAGAGCATAGCAGTCTGAGTGAATCTGAGGAGCAGTGAAGTGTAGGGAGTATGAGGATTGCCCCCATTGGTCTGAGGTAGAGGTAAGAGCTAGTAGCCAGCTGCTTTGCTTTTCTGATCTTCAACTTGAAGCTTAAACCCCTTTATCAGTCCTGGGTCATTTATTTATCGTGTTACAGAGTTCTTAATCGGTAACCGAGGAGGTATCACTGCAAAGGATTAAGGAAGCCTTGAGCACCACTGACAGCTTCTGCTTCCTAAGAGTGGATGGGATGCTGACAGGTACGCAGATGTCATCAGTGCCCAGAGGGACAGATACCATGTGCTATGTACCAGGCACATTGAGTGTGGTGACTGAACAGCAGCTGTAGCTTAACATTTCCTAGGGCTGGTCTTGTAACTACAGGTCCAGAGACAAAGAGATCTCCAAGAAGGAGAGGGTGGTGAGAATTCTTACCAGATTTCGTAGCAAGAGAGCTGTGGGGAAAAATGTAAGTTACAAGAAGAGATGAAGACAAAAAAATCTGTGAAATGGTTAACTACAGGCAAGCCCTATGAACATCCGAGTGTCCTGGGATCTATCAAGTAACTAGGAGGTCCTTCAATTGTACTGTGTCTGCTTCGCTCATAGGAGAGGTTAATCCTTTATAATTTATCAAATTCTCAAGAGGAGACACAGTCCCTAAACGTAAGAATAACTGAAAAGTAATCATTTAAAACAAGAAAATCTACTGACAGAGTTGTTTCCCTGACATTAGATTAAAACAACAACAACAACAAAACGCCACAGAGTCCACTAGGAGACTGGATGTGGCTCCAGTCCGTGCTTTCTGACTGGTTTGATTGACCTCAAACAGGATACATACACATTTCCACTCTTCAGGTTACCCAACACTAACGTAGTGTTGCAATGCTTTGCCATCTCTATGTTAATACATGATAGCTTATGATAGTTTGCCATCTCTATGTTAATACATGATAGCTTATGATAGTTTGCCATCTCTATGTTAATACATGATAGCTTATGATAGTTTGCCATCTCTATGTTAATACATGATAGCTTATGATAGTTTGCCATCTCTATGTTAATACATGATAGCTTATGATAGCACTGCTATGATTTGATCTTACTATCACAGCCACAAAGGTTCCAACAGCAGCAGTTGACTCCCCAGGTAAACACCATCAAGGCTCAAAAAATAGTTTCAACATCATGATACCAAGACCAAGATTTCTATTTGGGGCAGGCTTCTTTATCTTTTCTTACACACATTTTAAAAATACCTACATAATCAGTTTTCATATAAATGTCTGCTTTATGAAGAATATACCCTTTAAATCTTCCACTCTCCTCCTCTCCCCACTTAGTCCCTTTTGTTTCCCTAGACAGCTTTACTGTTATTGTCTACACATTGCTAAAACATCCAGTTCACTTCCTGTGAGAGCATCCTGAAGCTACTTCTTTGCAGCTCCAGCAGGAGGTGGCACTGCTCAAACTGAGGCATTTAGAAAGTCTAGAAAGAAGTCATTCTGTGGTTCAGGCTTCTAACTATTAACATATTGGCTGAAATTGCAAGACCCAAACTCTTTGTGGTACTGTGGAACTGTAGGGAACCAAATGGATACTTGTCTGGCTTATTTCAAGTGGATCTGAAACTGCTGGAAATAGAACATGCATCCCAATCTCACAATGGGGTGGAAGGATAAACATGAAGGACTGAGTCAACTCTCCAATCTGCATGTGTGGATCATACCCACTCAAGGTCACAGGATCCCTGCCCCACAGACACGCTGAAGGTTCTATGGAGTCCTTTTCTCCATTGTCAGCACTTCAGGGTACATTCTGGCACTAAATGGGATGATTGAAAGGACATCTGAATGACTCTCTCTGTGGACACAGTGAGCCCATTCCTGAATCAAACTCACCTGGATTGGTGGATTAACTGAGCTTTCAGTAAGTATGCCCCCATGTGGTGGCCCCAAAGGGAGTGGTACTTTTAGGAGGTGTGGCTTGATTGGAGTAGGTGTAGTCTTGTTGGAGAAAGTGTGTCACTGTGGAGGTGGGCTTTGAGGTCTCATATATGCTCAAGCCATGTCCAGTGAGACCCACCATTTCCAGTTGTCTGCAAGTCAAGTTGTAGGACACTTGGCTATTTCTCCAGTCCTGTCTGCCTACATGCTGCCTTGCTGCATGCAAGCCAACCCAATTAAATGTTTCCTTTTGTAGGAGTTGCTGTGGTCATAGTGTCTCTTCACATCAATACAAACCCTAAGTAAAAACCCTTCATTTAGAAGTGGATAAAGACAAAGCATTGGAGGATGGATTTTGAACAGTATTCATGAAAGTTTTAACAAATGTATAATGATATCACATTTTCATGATCAAATTAACCAAAAACATTAAGACAGGCAGGGTTCAAAGTGTGAAACAACACTGAGGCCCAGAAGTGAAATGATGTTTTATTTTAAAAATGAAAAGTGTGTGTGTGTGTATGTGTGTGTGTGTGTGTGTGTGTGTGTGTGTGTGAGTGTGTACATGATTGGTAGTACCCTCAGAGGCCGGAAGAGAGCATCAGATCCCTTGCAGTTGGAGTTACAGGTGGGTATGAGTCCTCTGACATAGGTGCTGGGAACTGAACTCCTATCAGTTGTAAGAGTAATGTGGGAACACCAGACCTTGAGCAGAGACCCACTTCCCCTTCTGCCTGGGAGTAGGCAGCTGTAAGACAATGTTTAGTAAAAACATGTTTACTAAAAATGATACAATGCCGGGGGCAATAAGTTCCTGGAAAAGGCCTTCCCACAGAAACCGCCCTGACCTTGACCTTGTCCAAAGACTAACCGCACCTTCAAAACCCACACACATCCACCTCTGGTGGCAGGGCAGAACCAGCCAGGGGAGAGGATAGAGCAGAAGCTTCTCTGGTGGGAGCTTTTCTTAGGAGGTTTTCTTGAACCTTTTTGGAGCCTGTTTAAAGTTTTCTTTACATCGTTGAATGAGTCTCTGTGTTGTCAATCCCCGACACCCTCTGCACGTTCTCGGACACAGGCTGCGCAGCAGACGTGACAGAGTAATATGCTCTATTAGTTGCTGAATCACCTCGTTAGCCCCCCCAATGGTGTTTTTAAGTTTACTTATATCATGAATAATGACTCTGATCTAGAATCCAGGTCTTATCTTTTGCTGCAGTATGTGATTGCGTTGAATCTGACGGAGTTGGGAGATGCTTCCTAATGTATTTAGAATCTCTACAAAACACAGTGGCATAAACCATTGCTTCATGGAGAAGAGTTATATAGATTGTCAATTCAACATCAGATAAGTAAATAGTGTAATCTCAGAAAGCAATTCCACACTGATTAAACAGTAAATTCTCTTCAAAGCAAATTATATGAACAACAACAACAAAAGATTTGCTACAGGGTAAACACCATAATTCAGAATAAATGGATTTCTAGCTTTCAAAATAAAAATTTCCCATTTTTTCGGAGCCAAGTTCTTGACATCTAACTTACACTGTGCAATCACCACATATTTGAGGCCATGAACTCTGAATGGGAACCCATGGACTCCACTGGTTCTAGGAATACAAATACTTATTAACTGTTCCAAAAGACAAATTACTGCCTTAGCTAGAACTAAAAACAACACAGAAGTCAAGAAAATAGAGCGTTAAGTGATGTGAGGGAAGAACTCCATCACTGTGTTCCCAGGGTCACGCCCCTGCACCCTGATAAAGTTCCATTAGGGATTAATCCCTTTTATGTAGGGGACCTCTTCCTTTGTAAGGACAAAGTCAGTTGCCACAAACAGAGACAGCATCTCCTGAAGGCGGAAACGACAGTGACACTGAGGGGACAGTGACATCCACACAAGACACAGTAGGTTTTATTGCAGTAGTGTGCACTGGTCCCTGCTGTGTTTGCTGACAGAGTCTATTCTAAGATAGGAAAGACGTGAGTCTTGATCAAGTATAAGAAACAAAGAGTTTACTTTTTGAGGGTGGTAGAATTCAAGACACCACCTGGTTAGAAAAAAAGAAAGAAAGAAAAAGAAAAAAGACCAAATAGAATTGCCAATGAAGACTGTTGAGGCTGATTTCTGTGCAGGATTGTCCAGTTACCAAGTTTTGAACTTCTTGCCAGATCACTGTGAAGAGAAGCAGTGCAGCCAAGCAGGGCCACCCTGGCCAAGCAAAGGCAAGCTTTCTTCTTAGCCCAACAGCAACCTACAATCCTCACACACTTCTGTCACTGATACTAGAAAACGTAAGAGTCTTCCCAACCACACCCCTTCTCCATCATTGTTGTTTTCTCTTTTGAAACTTTGCACACTGGGAGGCTGAGCTGATGTGGACTTCTGATTCCAGATAGAGAGAATGGATAAAATGAACATTACTTTTCATCTACTCACTTCTCTCTCCTTCCTTTCTTCCTCTTTCTCTTTCATTCTTTCTCTTCCTCCCTTTCCCGTGTCTCTGCTTTCTTTGCCTATGAACGAAAACCCAGCAGTCTGGAATTTAAAATTGTTGGCCAAAC